CCTGATTTATATTTTCTGTGGAGGCAAAAATTACCAGTAAAGAATACTGGCAACAATTGAACATTATTTAGCAAGACCTGGCCTTGCCTTGCCATAATTTGTTTCTGATTCTTTAATCCATCATGGGTTCATAATAACAGATGCTTAACATTTTCCTGGGTGTTAGTGAAACTAGACTCTTCCATAACTTTGAGTAGGAGTATTATTATTGTAATGTCACAATACAATACGCCAAAGATATTCTCATTCCAAGCCATTATCTTATTTATGAGGTCATTAATGGTTAAAAATAAAAGGTAACACCTTCCATTCTAAATGTATACATGTACCTTTGTCCAAGTCTTTATTCCATTATATCTTAATGGGACAACAAGTTTCTCTGAGAGCACCCTTCTTCAGCATGATTCCTTTTAGAGTTATTTGAGTTCCAGCTTCCATAGTTTATAGTCAGCATGATTAGTTAAAATGATAATCCAGCTAAACTGGGTTGGAATGATTGGAACTGAAATCCCATACAGTTGGAGAGCATCAGGTTGTGCTAGAGGAAGGGACTCCAAACTTCGCAGCTTTAGGATCTGTGGACTTCAATTTCCAGAAAGCCAACTGTGCTAGCTGAGGAATTCTGGGAGTTGAAGTCCACAAGTCTTAAAGCTGCCAGGTTTGGAGTCCCGGTGTTAGAAGACTTTAGGAATGAAGCAGAGCAACTGCACCCAAATCTTGACTTTAAAAGGCTGCTAAGGAAAAAATACTGAGTCTATAAGCCAGCCTACATGGCAGTGGGAATAGGACAAGAATCACCTGGGTTCAAATTCCCGAAATAAAAGTCACAGAGTGACTTTGGTGCATCCATGGCTTTTCAGCTTAGTCAGTTCCACAGGCCAATGAATGGAAGAATCCTCAAGCAAATATAAATTCACCTCAGGAAGGTAGAAACTCAAAAGTTATGAGTAGAAAACATAGACTGAATAAAAACATTTAAGTAGGCCTCAAGTAGGCCTCATGTTCTCAAGTGGAGGAAGAGTACCCCAAGAGTGAGCACTGTACCCACTCCTCATGCGATGGCTCACCTCACTCAAAATGACTCAAAATGGTTGTGCAATCATGCTGTGTCACTTCCCTGTGTACTCCATTATTCATTTCTCCACATCTCTTGCAGTGCTCCATAGGATATCAGAAACACAACTCTCCTTACAGAGATTCTCTTTCAGTCTTTCTTCTGCGCCATTTCTCCACCTTTCATCTCTTCAGATACTCTCACTGAAGTATACCACTGCTTCTCCGCATACCGGAATGAATGGATACACCACAGACTATCATAGATCAATGCTAAATAATTGAGGGATGTTCCCATGACTATTTAATGAAAGGTATTTTGTTTCCAGAGGCAAGAACATATCACTTAGTGGGGCAGGAAATATTTCATTCAGTATTTTGGCTGAAATGAGATGTGGCTCCTTGACAGACTATAATACAAAGAAATGGAAATAGTTGAATAGAAACGCCTAACTTGTTTTCACAGTTAAAGCACTGATATCTTATGATTCGTGCAAAAATTTTAAAAAGCAACAAGAAAGCTCTTGGTCTGTTCCTTATTAATCAAGGTACAAAATAGAAAATCATAAATTGCAATAAGGTGACCCATCTGCTTTCCGCATCTGTCCCTACGGTGTACAATCCATGGTAGTATCAGTTTGGATCCTGGCATCCACTGTAAGCAGCAGAGAAATGGAAGGAGGTTAAAGAATGGCAGCTGACATCATAATGTGATGGCACTAAAAATAAAAAAAGGATGAAAATCTCACTGCTAAATGATCAAAAAGAGCCTAGTATCAATAATCAAGATTCCTTGTATTATATTTAAGAGGACATATTCCAAATATTGTACAAAACAAAGTGCTGCTCCAAAATAGATTATGATGTATTTATAAATGTGACTGTCCCATTCAAAGTAAATGTTCAGCAACCATTGCTTATGACTCTTCCAACATCTCACTTGAGTCTGAATTCACTGTGAGACACTAAAAGCTCTGTGTACTTATATCATCCAAATAGATGATCTCATTAGTCTACATCACTTTGACAGTCCTAGACTGGCTCAAATAAGTAACAGTACAGATAGGATAAACAATCTGGTTCCATTTGAGACCAGTGGCAAATTCTAGTAGTGTCCCGCAAAGCTACATACATTTAAACACCAATATCTTTTAAAAGTCCTCCATATGTATTCTGATTTACACCAACAACTTTGCATAAACAATGCCCCTCAATCCATTCTTCCTCCTCATTTGCTACCATATCCCAAATAAAGTGTAGCGGTGTAATGTCAAAGTCACATTCTGCAGCTTCATTGATGACTATCAAGCCAACCAAGAAAGATATTCAATTCTTTACTTCATTAGGTATCCTCATGAGGGTACTTTTAAAGGACAGGTAAAGACAGACAAACTCATCCATGCAGATTTCATGGAATTCTATGGAGGTTGTTTGGCCACCTAGCTGTTCAAAAGTGTGCAACTGTGACTAGATGAACAGGTACAATGTGCCTTTCGCATATCGCCATGCTAGCCATGTGACCACATAAATGGTCTTTGGACAACACTGGCTCCCTTGGCCAAGAAATGAAGATGAGCACTTAAAGTTGAACACTCTAACTGACAGGGAAATCTTTACCTTTTTTTCACCTTTAGTTTACCATTGCCCTCTTCCAGAACATCCCTATTTCCCAATCTTACTCACAGCCATGGAATTCTCTCATGGAGTTCCAATCCAAATATTCACCAGGCTCAATTCTGCTTAACAAATTCAGTGTTGGCCTTTCCAGGTAGACCAGACAGGGAAAACTACCAGATCAGATAATTCTATTTTATCTTGCAGTAGTATAATCTTGCAAGTCTAATAATACAAATCTCTCACTGCCTCTTTTACAGCCTGATAAATTCAGGAAGGTTCCTTTCTGAGTTTCTTTCTCTTCCCATTATGCAGCTGTGGGCTATGCCTCTCTTATCTGATTATTCCATAGAACGATAGAAATGGTAGAAATTCTTGAGAAATTGACCGTCCCATGAATAACTCAAGGGTATGAAGGGCTTTATAGGTGACCACCAGCACCTTGAATTCCATCTGGAACCACACTAGGAGCAGGTGCAGCATGTGGAATAGTGGAATATACCAAGGTGCATCCATAAATTCCCCTGCCACTGTGTTTTGGGCTTTTTGGATGTTCTCCAAGGGCAGCCCCATGTAAAGTGCATTGCAGCAATTCATTTGGTAGTTGACTAAGGCTTGAGCCTCTCAGTCCACAAAAGGGCACAATTGGCATACAAGATTAAGTTGGCAAAAGTCCTGCCAATCACAGCTACCACTTGCTCATCCAATATGAGCCACAAAAACAAACAAACAAACAGACAAATCTGGAAAAGATGGTCCTTTATTAGAGAATCAGCAGGACTCAAATTCCCCAAAGGGCCTGCCTTCAACCCTTAAGCCATGTCCTCTAGCTCAGGGGTCTCCAATCTTTTGGACTTCAGGGACCACCAAACTCATAATTTTAAATCCTGCGGATCAGAAACCCTGGGAAAATCCAAAAAAAAGTCTGCAGGAAAATTCTCCACCCCCGTTTTCCTGCCGATCGATCATTCTTTATTTGGGATCGCAGGATACCGTCTCCAGCTCCATTCTCAGAGGTAGAGAGAGAGAGACTTTTGGCTTCATGCAAGGAAAGCAGCAGAAGCAGCAGAAGTCTTTCTTTCTCTCTCCCAAACTCTGCCAGAAATGAGTCTTTGTGAGACTTGTCATGCCGGCGCAGCCTCTTGGAGCAGGATGCCTTGAAGGGTCCCAAAGACTCATTTCTGGCGGAGTTTGGGGGAGAGAAAGAAAGACTTTTGCTGCTTTTCTTGCGTTCATCCAAAAGCAGAAGAAGAAAGAAGCGGGAAGAAGCAGCCTGGTAGCCAGGCCAGGCACGTGGGGCGAGTGGGGCAAGTTCCCCCCGCCTTCGGCTCTTTCCCCCCCTCCCCTCACTACCTTGTGTTGTTCGCAATGCAAGCCTTGTGTTCCCGTGGGCCATGTGGGCGGCACAGCCTTGTGTTCCCATGCAGTCTGGATTAATTGCTTTGGGGGTGACATTTCTCTGTGGACCACCAAAATTTTCTCGCAGACCACCAGTGGTCCCCAGCCCAGTGGTTGGCAACCACTGGTCTAGCTTTCTCTCCCAAAATCTCAGTTGTATAAATGCTGTTAGCTCTTTTGCTCAGAAGCATGAAAAATGTTCGCCACACAAGCTTAGCGGCATTGTCATACAGCAATTAATTCACAACATGGCAGCTTCAAAGAGCAAACCCTTAAGAAGCTGTGATTAAATTGGATAATCAACTTATTTTTTCATGACAAGCTGAGACTGAACAACACACAAAGCAAAGAAAGAAAGAAAGAAAGAAAGAAAGAAAGAAAGAAAGAAAGAAA